TTACTGCACAGCGAACAGAGAAGTCGACTTGAGGTGCCCTGTGCAGTGTCTCCCGATGGCCTGACAGAGCTGGACCTCCCCCAGCCTGTGGTGCGGACCTCTATGCTCTCCAGGAGAAACCCAGCACCCTTTTCTACTATCATTATTTTAACAAAATATTAACTTTAAAAAATATATTATCTGTAAGTGGTTGTACAAAGGAGTTGCCATTTGACAGCGCAGGTTATGAACACAGTGATCAGGATCACCCATCCCTCCTACCCACCTTCCCTGGTTCTTAATTCTGTAGGATGTACTTTGAATTCTTTTTATTGCCATTTAACAAAGCAGTTCATGTATACAATGCATGCTGATCTGTCACCCCCTTTCGACCCGCACTCCATCCTTTTTTTTTCTTCATTCTGTGGTATATATAATGAATTCTTGACTACCTACTTGTCAGACAAAGATCTGTGACGCTACAACACATTTCTACTGTATGGTATAAATTTGCAATAGCTTCATGGCAATCAGCTCTGAAAAAGAGACTCTTACAGTTTACTGTGGAACTGTATGTGAAAAGTCAGGTTTATAATTACGCTTGATAGAATGACTTTGATTTCTCTCAATGATGATGATGCTTACCACCCCCGCCTGCCCCCCAAGAGACCAGAGTTCACGAAGTAGAAGCCTTACCCGCACCAGGGACTTCCACACACAGGACCATTGACTAGATGAGAAATAGAGTGTTTGCATTATGTTTGGTTGCTTGCCTACTCATTCAACATTTGTAAGTCAAATCAATACACACGAGGCTCTATTGTATTTATAGAAAGAAAAACTCGTGTACTCCATTCCACTGGATCTGGATACTATAGAAAGCTATTACACTTACCTCATTCACCCAAGAGTGGAGCATAGCAAATCTTCCCGCCTCTGGTTGTCTGCCTGACACTTAGTACTCTGTCCCCTGCCTGTCTCTTCCCAGCCTCAGATGCCACATGATATTAAAATGACAAGAACTATGCATGCAGACATACTGGTGACTTCAGGTTACCAAATGGTCCAGGATCCATGGAGCTTATGGTTAAATACCCCACTTGTTTATAGCCTGGACTCCTGGGGTTATGCAGTTTGTTTATGGCCAAAAGACAAAATAAATCCAATGAGTGTGACTCCATGCCTCCCGCTGGTCCTGCACAACCTGAATTCACAACTTCCGTGCTCCAGCACGCAGAGGGCCCGCGTGATTCATGAATGCAGCTTCCTGGAAACCGTCCTAACGGAATTTACTGGAGGCTTTCAACTTTGTGGTCCGAAATGAGAAGTTTAACCAGGCTATCAGTTGATGCATTTCCTTGGCTCTTTTTTTCAAAGCAAGGCTGGAAAGCTTTACGGCCCTGTGTGCTCAGCCTGGCACAATTTAAACAAACAAGGCTCCCCTGACAGGAGAAGAGTTGCTTTGGTTTTTCCCGTGGCCGTTTGTCTTGGGCTGGCTGGTGTGTACTCATTTCTAATCCGGGAGGCACCAGCAAAGTCGCTTACCGCACAAGCGTGGTTGTATTTTAAGGTACATCTTTGTCCTTTGTGCAGACATTCCTGTATCCCCCGAGGTGCCCGCCATATGCCCTGCATCTAGCTCTGGTTCACACACCCTCTGCACCTTCCATTTACCCCTCATCCCAAACGTCCTCCATTCCTGGTTGTTCTCATGGCAACTACTCCACCATGTCCTTACCGACCCCCTACACCAGGGTTGCATGCTGCTGACCTCAGCATGATGAGACACTTGAAAATACAGCAGAGAATGAGGAGTTCTCCTGGCTGGCTCAGGATTCAGCCCATCCTGTGGGGGAGGGCAGTGCCCTGCAGCCTAGGCTAGGCAGCAGGGGCCAGCATGCCTGTGCCGCTGGCTTTCCCCTTCGTCTCCGGGGCAGGTGTCCGACATGCATCTGAGGAAGTTTACTTACCACACTTGCACAGAAGCCTGATCAGTGGCTGAGCCTTCCCCATGCAGGCTGTTGAGCTTTGTGGTAAGGGCCACATTGTCAAACCGAGCCTGAAATTGAGCCCAGAGACCGATCTGGGTCGATGCCACACACAGACTCTTCAGAGTCAAGGAGATTTGTAGGAGCAGGGCTGTCAGCCCCTCCACCGCACCCCTCCTGCCCCCATTTTCATTGTCTGTGCTGTCTGGGGTGTGGGCATCATAGGAAACTCCACTGGCTGAAGGTTTGGGCTGTTGATCTTCAGATCTTCAGTGAGGATTTTGTCACCTGGCTCTCAGGACACTCTGATCTTCAGGCTTCTAGAACATGTTACCATAGACGAATCCTCTGAGCCAAATCCGTTCCCCCTCTCCTCTCTCTCTCTCCCTCCCTCCCTCCTTCCCTCCCTCCTTCTCTCTCTTTCTCTCTCTCTCTCTCTCTCCATAAAGTTTGATGAGTACTCTGTCCCTCACATTCCTGTTTCCTTAGTCTGAAAAACGGTGATAACAGAAATACCCATGGCTATATATTTCTGTGAAGTTAGTTATTTTACACGAGGAAAAGAGGGTGGAACACTGGAGCAGAAAAATGGCTCAGGCATGGGAAGGAAGGCCTTAGGCCCCGCTACAGTTGGTTGACACTGGGCGCTTCTATGTTACTCCTGAGGAACATAAAGAGTCCTTGAGTTCCCAGGATGCCAACATCCCATACAGGAAATAGATCGGGGCGGGCGGGGGCAGGGGGGCGCAGGGCAGTCATTCTTTGAATCCTTCCCTGCACTTCACTTGACTGCATTAGATTCAGGAGTCCAGGGCCAGGAAGAAGAGCTCTGCCTGGATTGTTTCCAGCTCCCTCCACAAAGCTGAGGGAAAGCTCTGCTAAGCCTCATGCATTTTATGTCTGCCTGAGGACACACGATGCTCATTGGTCTCAGGGTTAAGGAGTCTCAGCAAGTTTTTGATACAGACACTAAAACATTCTCTTCATAGTTTCCTGTCACCAAAAGATGCCCAGGGGAGACAGCTGCACCTAAGTGCCTGCAAGGCCCAGACTGTGGGAGGCGTCTGGGTACAGGGATGATGGACAGTGTGGAGCTGCAGCTGCCCAGATGCCCAGAGACAGCATATGCATCTGTGTGTGTGTGTGCGCGTCTCTGTCTGTGTTTGTGTGTGTGTCTGTGTGTGTGTTTATGAACATGACACACATATGAAATGTAGGCAAAACTTAAACTACAAAGCACGGATGTGTGTGGGCTTCAGGGTTTCTTACGTTAGCGAGACAATGCAAACCAAGTGTCATCTTCATCCTCAGGACAAAATCCAGCACCCCGTGAATGGTGGGGGGTACAAAGACACGTACCTGAGGGAAAAGCCACGCCAGGCCTACGATTCTCAGAACCAGAGCTTGATCGCTTCACCCAAACACAGTTTTAAAGAGAAATCTCAAGCATGGTCTGTTCCCTGGACTTGGAATGCTCCCGGCCCGTAGTGTTTATTCCAGGACCCTGCATGTACATGGGGTACCGAATGCTGCCAAAAAGGAAATCCTGCGCTTGCTCGTAGACTTCTCTTGGGGTTGTTTTCTAGCAAATATATTTTCTTTAGCTTTCTCATGCCTACTCTTCTGTGGCGGATATACTATCTTTACGACATTTTACCTGCCCACTCATTTGTGATTCTCAGTATCGATGTTTTCCTAAATCCTTACTTTCCTTCCATCTGAGCCATACGAAGTACATATAATTCTACTAAATGGAATCATTCTAAGTATCTAGCATTTATTCCTAAAACTAGAATAACAATATATCTATTTTTATTCTACATTTCCAGCCCTATTCTAGCAGGTCTAGAAATCAGCTCCTCTCTCTCTTTTTCTTTCTCTCTCTTCTTTCTTCCTGCTTTCTCTTCTTCCCTCTCTCTTTCTCCTTCTCTCATCAGATTATAGTGTAACAATAGATTTAGAAGTGAATAAAGATATCATTCTGATTCTAATAATGAAATCGGTGAGGTTTCTTCTTTTAAAGGCCTTCAAGAAATATTAACTAATATTTAAATGGATTTGTTACCCAATCTTTCGAGAAAATAAAAAAGTAGACATCTAAGTTAACTTTGTGTTTCCTAAGTAGAGAGAGAGAAATCACATTTCTAAGCAAGGTATTGCCCTCCTGGCACAGGACAATATGGTGCTAGGTGCTAAAGCAGTACATTCCAAATACAAAAAAAAAAAAAAAAGTGAGCCTTATTTGAATAAATGACTGAGTTGTTGTTCTTCAGCCTGATGACAGGGCGCCACCTACTGTATAGAAGCTTTATTTTATGCTTGGGAATTCTTCCATGGAAACTGGTTCAACAGAATTGGGTTGCAGTCTGTTACTGCTTAACATTTATACCTGGATCTACTTAAATTTTTCTCTGAGTGTGTGTGTATGTGCATGCATGTGTGTGTGCTACTTTTTCTCTGAGTGTGTGTGTGGTTTCATTCATATGGAGTAAATAATCCATGAGTGAAGGAATGGAGGATAAAAAGAATGCAAACATGAAAAATACTGTAAAAACGTAAGATATTCCTTGTTGGTATCTACTGCTGTAGGAAGTAAATGATGCATCTACATGTCAGGGTGCAGGGGGCGGGGGGGAAGCAGAGGAGATCAGTAAGTGGGGAGGGAAACGGGCAGAGGGAGAGATGAGTGTGTGAGGGGCTGTTTCTATCGTGGAACTATTCAATAGCAGAGTTGCTGAGAGAACTATGAAAGAATTGCACAGAATGGGTTGGGTGTGTCTTCTAAGACACAGGCAGTGCCCAGGTTAGAAAGGCGCTCTGTTGGGAAGGCTTAAATGACGTGCAGGCCCGGAGACCCCCGTGGGCGGCCCGCTGCAGTCTAGAGGACATCTCGGGGTCGTATTTCCTAGAAAAAGGACCCTGCAGGGGAACCTTTATGGATTGTACCTAGGAAGCATGACTCCGCTGAGCTCCCGCAGCTGGCGCTATAGTGGAGAGTGGCCTTTATCTGTCCCGCTGTTCTTATGTCCCCAGAAGACTGGCACGCGCAGCTGCAGCCCCTCATCCTTGCCCTGAAGGACTGCATGGGCGAAGTGGTGAGCCGGGCCAAGCAGTCCCTGACGTTCGTGCTGCTCCAGGAGCTCGCCTACAGCCTGCCCCAGTGTCTGATGCTGACCCTGCGCCGGGACGCTGTCTTCAGCCAGGCGGTAGGTGCCCGCGGCCTTCTGTTGAGCACAGTCCTGAATCCTTAGCACCGTGGCCTTCACGGACATAGACTTCTCTTGTCCGAGTTACTTCAAAAGAGCTCCCTTCCATCACAGGTTGGAAGCTGGGTTTGCTCGCTCAGGAGATGAACAGCACCTGTAGGACACAGTTCATGAAATATCAAGGAATTCTTTCCCCACAGAGACCATCCAGTGTACCCAGCATGCATACGTCTTGCTGCACTGGGTGTAGAGTAGGTGAAGGACCAGTGAACACACGTGTGTGCGGTGCCCAGGGTCTGCCTACCATCAGGGATGGGACAGCACCCTCCACCGCAGGGGCAGGCCTGCTTGTGGGATCTGATGGGACCGTCTTCTCTGTCTACCCTCCCCACACGCTCCACCCAGGACTCCCTGTCACAGGGCTGTGTGTCGTTTGCTTTGTCCCCCCTGGTGTCTACCTCCCTGGCTGAGCTTTGCAGACGGAGCACTTGGAGTCAAGGAGACAGAATGCCTCCCCTTTCCAAACCGCCCTGTGAACAGTAACTTCTGGGGGTGATATCACCGTGTGATAATGATTTGAAACTACTCCATACACTTGTGCACTTTCATTATTATAAATGGGAATTACAAGATTTAAAAACCAGAGCCCAAGATGCCTGCCCTTAACTCAATTACGACACTTACTTCCCAGCCTTTTATACACAGCCTTGCTACAGCATAAAGGATCCACTTTCTTTAGTCCGCACATAGAGATTACAGTAGCTTTGTGCCACACATCTGAGATTATTTTGAATGGAGTTGGTGATGAATTCAAAGGCCTTTAAGTCCCTCAGAGGTTGGGCTCACAAATTCACATTTATGATCCCAGTCCATTTCTTCAGTGATTTTCTTTTCTTTTTGTTGGTTTGTTTGATGCAGCTTGCTGGATTAGTTTGTGGTTTTATCATCAAATTATACACCAGTTGGCATGATCCTGACTTCCTGGGGCTGCTGTCCACGGTGGGGCTGGTCGTGCAGTACGAAGGCCTGCTGAGCACGCACAGTGAGTATCTCTCCCTCGCGGCATCGTCACGCCGCGCTCCTCACCACACCGCGCACGTCGGTTTCCAGAGAAGCGGTGAAATAAGAGGTTTACTGTTGGGCCATGGAGTTTTGCATTCACTCACCTTGTACCTTGATTTTGCCTTGAATTAGGTTTTGAAAATGGAATTATGCATCATTTCAAAGCCACCATCTGGCTTTGGATTAAATATATAAAGAACGCTTCACCAACATGGTTTCAGGGAATGGATTTTAAAGTCTGAACACATTAATGTCCACACCAGCCCTGTTCAATGTGGGAGCCTCGTGTGCATGTGGTGTGGTAGAAATATGGTGTCTAGTCCAAACCAGTACATTCTAGACACAAATACCAGATTTCTAAGAGTAGAAGAATTTTATAGTGCTTATAAGTGAATTTATCTTAATTTACATCTGAAATAGCATTTTGAATTCATTGGCTTATGTATACTACTAAACTTTACCTTTATAATCTTGCTCTCTTAAAGGTAGGACTACTAGGAAAAATCTGAAAATTATACGCATCACTTTTGAGTAGGGCTAATCTAGAAATGTCCTTAATTTCCTCATTGTCTGGCTCTAGTGATCTGTGTATGATCTAGAATGATCTTGGCTATCATTATGCCTCTTGTCCACAAAAAGATTATCTTTCTGGAAAGACATCTCTGTTACTAATTTAAAAAAAGATGTCTGCAATGTGTTAAAAAGGGTGAAAAGTCTCTCTCCAGCATCTGAGAAAAAGTATAGACTCTTCATCTGTCAAAGGGTGCCTGGGCTTCCAGAGACCATCCGAACGGTTCTGATTTCACTGATGGGAAGCCCCAGCCTGTGAGGGCAAGGGAGTCCAGTGTGACTCCGCTGCATCCAGAAACTCGCCCGCTGAAATGCTAGAGCAGATGCCAGCGGGGACTGGCGGGATTCCCCGGTGACTGTGTCCTTTAATAATCTGCAACGAGGCATTTTCCCCTGGCTTAGGTGATGAACTCGGAATGCTGGAAGACATGGCTGTTGGCATTTCGGACCTGAAGAAGGTTGCATTTAAAATCATTGAAGGCCACTCCAATGATGTTTTGCCAGTTATCACAGGAAGACGGTGAGTCAGACCCGCTTCCTAAAAACCCAGAATTTGTAGACATGTTACATCTGCTCACAGCAAAGGAACTTCAGACACAGGTTCAGTTGCAGGACTTATTTTGGTAGGAAACAAATATAGGTGATAGGAAAGAGAAGGTCTTATAAAACTTCTAGAAGTTTCCTAAATATTTGTATATTATAAATAGGACTGTTACCCTGTGATATATGCAAAATTTAAAAGAATAAGTTGTTCAAGATATGTTGTATTCATAAACTGCTGTGTTAAATGGTTATTCTTTTGGACAACTACTTAAAAATAATAAAAAAAATATAAAAAAGAATCTGAAGACAAAGGACAAAAAAAGCATGTTTGAAAAGATCATTTTTCTTTTTCTTACTGTCTGGTCTAAAGCCTGGATGTTTTCCTTTTGCGGGAATCGTTCAGTTAATAGCTTCATAATTCTTGAGATGACTTTAAATTAAACTCAGTTAAAAGCAGTAACGTTTTAGGAAAGATATATTCCTATATTAGGGCTGAACACCACCATTTTTCTTAATTATTTTTGACAATTCACTCTTAGATTGTGAGATTTCCGAGAAAGGTTTTAAATAAATAGCTCAAAGGTCAGTAGAGGATGGGCAAAATACCAGAAACAATGTCAAGAATTCCATGTATATCCTAGAAAATTGAGAAGAGCAAAGGAGTGTTTTGGGAGGGATGGGGGGAATGTTGAAGGGGTCACATTGATCAAGATGCATGGTGCTCATGACCTGCTCTGTTAAGTGGCAATTCCTTTGTACAACTACTTAAAGATAACACAAAAATAAGTTTAAAAAAAAGAAGAATGATTGGGTGTCAAAGAAACCCCTGATAGAACATATCCTATAATAAGTTGTTGAATTCAACCAGAAGTTTTCCAACCTTCAGCTGTTGTGGTGTGAGCACTTTTAAGGGTTGAATGAGGTGGTTTAAATTTGGAAACATCCTCAGTTCTTAGTGAAAACATGAGAACCTACAAAGAGCACTAGCACTTTGCATGCTGGAGAAAGATAGAGAAATGGAGTTCAAAAAATGATTCAGTGTGAACTTGTTTTCTGTATTGTGGTTGACGTTTAATGGCCACCTTAAATTTTGTACAGGGATGGCTTATAGCCACATGGTTCAACCAAAGGTGACGTTTTCCTATATCCTCATGAAACTACATGTGTCACCTGGAAATTAATGTTTTCTTTGCTAGTTGTTGGAAGGAAAAGGAATAATACTGGTCACCTGGAAAACAACACAATTCTGGACATTACAGTGAAGTTTATAATAAAAAATAAGAGCCTAAAGTGATAGTTCTCTTATAGTTTCTTAGGAGACTTTGGAGGCCACCTGGTACAAACCAAGCACTGGCTGTTTTGTGTGGGGAAATGCCTTTAACTTGAACTAAGTTCAAAAGATGAAGTGGGATTCCTAGAATAATGGAGTAGGAGACTTGACAAATCCACTCTCCAAGAAGCAATATTGTATCCGGAAAATTCATCTAAATCAACCACCTTAGGAGTCAGGAGCTAAAGCAAATGCAGACGATAAATGTAGCGGGTCACATGAAAAGTCAGAGAGTCGGGTGGTAGTGGGAATATGTGCCGTTCTTGCTGAATCCCGGGCCACCTGCTTGGTTTGAATGTGTTGTTTAATATGAATGGGAAAAGCCCATTGATTCAGGCTGGAGAGCACTCCTGAAACCTGTCAGGACAGTGGTGACTTACATAATAATTGCATTCATGATAACATCAGTAAGAATAAAGAGAAATGATCTTAAAAATTGGGTTGAAAGCCGGGCGCTGGTGGCTCACGCCTGTAATCCTAGCTACTCAGGAGGCTGAGATCTGAGGATCATGGTTCAAAGCCAGCCTGGGCTGTGACACTCTTATTTCCAATAAACCACCAGAAAACCGGAAGTGGTAGAGAGCTCACATTGAGCTGAAGAGCTAAGGGACAGCACCCAGGCCCATAGATCAAGCCCCGCAATCAACCAAAAATCATAAAAATGGGCTGAACATTGGACACAGAACACATAAAACATTGCTGACAAAAATTAATCAGATCCAATGAGCAGACTGGATCTGTTGTTCATAGATGGGGAGAATCAATGTGTAGATGCAAATTCTCCACAAATATATCTAGAGATTATGTAATTACTATTTAAATCTTAGTCATCTTTTTTTCATTTTGTAGAAATTGTTGGATTATACTTAATTTTTTAATGTAAATGAAAAGCATCATCCCCTCCAAGTTTTAAAATGAGTACAAGGTTGGAGAACTTAGCCTTCTTGTTTGAAAACTTACAATAAACTTACATACATATACAGAATTTAAAGGCCAGAAATAAACTATTATCTTTAGCTATAATTTTACTCAAAGATGCCTTTGCAATTTAACAGGAAGTACAGATTTCAAACTATGCAGTAGCCATTGGTTGCCTATATACAAAACTTGGAATTTCAACCCTTTATACCATTTGCAAAAATTAGCCCAGGTCTCAATGTAAGGGCTAAAATTGAGAAAATGTTAGGACCAAATATTTGCAAGTTGAGCTAATGAATTCTTTTCAATGTTTCAAAACTTAAAAAAAAATCTATAAATAGTTACACGGAGGAATTAGAATTTAAGACGCTGTTTATGTGCCCAGCGTTTCTGGATCAGTGTCACCCTTTCATTATTCTCCCTTCCCCTCCCCCTTCTCCATCAGTCACATGAAGTTTCCCACCTCCTCTTTCACATACGCACTGTATTTGTACCTGATCCCCACCTCCCACTTCTCCCTCCCCATTCAAAACACTCCCTGATACTGATTCGTGGAACTGTCTGCTTACACCATGGAGTTTCACTCAGTAAACATACTTTAGACAGCTTCCTCATGTATATGCATATATGACGCTGTATGTATTTACCGAGGATATTGTATTTGGATTTTATGGTTCTCATAGGAGAGGATATGTACTCTTTGTCTTTCTGGGCCTAGCTTACTTGACTCTGTATGTTTTGTTACAGATCTGTCCATTTTCCTGCAAATGACATCGTTTTAGTGTTCCTGATAGCCGAATAAAATTCCATTATATATTACATGTATACTATGTATATAATAAATATACATATAGTATATATATATTATATATGTACTATATATAGTGTGTATATAAAGCATGTTTATGTATAGCAGCATGTAACTGAGGAATGAGGCTTGAGTGAATGGACAATAGGAAGGAAGCATGTAGCAGCTAAACTTTAGTGTTCTGTTCAACTTTTTTCTGTTTGTATTGTAATGAATCTCACAGAAGCCAAGGCAAATGAAGTAGGTGACGCTGCTGCTTCTCTGTGCTTCTCTCCCCCAGGGAACACTACGTGGTGGAAGTCAAGCTTCCAGCTGCCATGTTTGAGTCGCTGCCGCTCCAGATCAAGGAAGGGCAGCTGCTTCGCGTTCATCCAGTACTTTTCAATGTGGGCATCAACGAGCAGCAAACCCTCGCAGAGAGGTGGGCTTCAGGTGGAATCTGTGCCTAAAATAGCCTAGTTAAATAGCTGCATGGCATCATTTGACTATGTGTTTTTAGAAGGCTTGCTCAGCCAAACAACAAACAGTTGTATGTGATGCCATGATTCCCTATCAGAACACTGTTTTGAGCAAAGAATTTAAGCCTTCATCTTGCGTAGTTCTCAGGTAGGAATGCTAGAAAACTTGTATAATGGTTAAAGTTCATAGAACGTACTTGTAGAGAACCAAGATATTATAGACATGTTTGTGAGAGTTTGATAAAATGCTTTCTTGTCTACCGGTCATGTTTCTATGTCTCCTTCCCCAGAGGGTAACAGTTTTAAATTGCACGTGCCTGGCTATTGCTTGCTAAATATATTTTAGCTTTTTACTAAATCCTCTCCTATAATGATAGTCCTCCTGAATTTGATGAAACTCATAATTCCTCTTTTCATCTACTATTTTCAAACTATTTCTTTTTCTCTCCCTCTTACTCAAAAGATATTTCCTGAACAACACAGATTTTAATCATTCTCAATTTCCAGTTAAAGTAGATGGTACAACTTTGTGCTACATGTTGAATTTCAAAGTGTGTAGAAGTTACTCATCTCTCATTTCATAATATGCATAAATCTAATCTTAATCAATGTATTGTACAAAAAGTTTTCTTTGATAATTAAATACTTTCAATAGCAATAATCAGATTCCAGTGGTCGATTTAGCATGAGGAATCACATTCTTGAATATAATAAGAGACTTTAGGGGAAAAAAACAGATCCCCTAGACAAAAGGCACATTAGAGCACAGAGCATTTGTGGTTTTCGTGAATGAGTTAGGGCTGTGAGTTTGGCCTTGGCAGAGATGTGAGAGTCTTCCATTTAGACTTTATAAGGGCTAGTTCACATTTCCAGAGACAATTAATTTATAGATTGTGAAATTTTCTATCACTCACATCATCATGGCTGTTTCCTTTATCAGTCATTTCATTTAAGAAGTATTTCTTGGGCTGAGTATGGTGTCACACACTTGTAATCCCAGCTATGCAAGAGAAAAGGATGAGAGAATTATGGTTAGAACCTCTGTCGAGGAAAATGTATTAGTGAGAGCATATCTCAGTAATGGGCATAGTAGTGTTTGCCTGTTATCCCAGTGATGTGGGAGGGAGGGAGGAAGATCAAGGTCTGAGGCTAGGCAGGCCAAGAAAAATAGTTAGCAACTCTATCTGAAGAATAAAGCAGAAAGATCTGGAGGCAAAGCACAAGTGATGATAAGAATCCTTCCCAAGGGCAGGGTCCTGGTTCAGGCTCTAGTAGAAAAGTGACAGCCATAATAAAAGAAAGAAAGATAGGGAGACAGGCAGGCAGCAAGGAAAGAAGGAAGGAAGAAAGGAAGCAAGGAAGGAAAGAAAAGAAAGAAGGTAGAGGAGGAAGGAGAAAGGAAGAAAAAAGTTCCTTCCTTACCTTCCATCTCCTCTTGCAAGTTAAAACGATATAACCCCTGCTTTCACTGTATTTGATGTTGGTATAATTTGTGGAGGGGAAGGGAAAAAACAAATCGTTAAATAGGGATACAGGGGGACCCATTGCAACAATGAGATGTACAAGTCGTTATGTCGAAAATAAACTTTACAACTTTGGTGTGTGGGGGGGAGATGGGAAGGATTAGGAAGGGGAGACAAAGGAGGAAGCAACAATGCTTGATAAAAAATGTACTCATTATCTTGCCCATGTAATCGTAACTCCTCTGTACGGTATTTTCACAATTAAAAAAAAAGAAAAATCCTTTTCCCCCCTCCTTTGTAACCTGAAAGCTGTATAATACACACAGACTTTGAAAGAAGACAAAATGACCAAAAAAATCGCCTAGCAGGGATAAGCACTACTGAGCGGGAAAGCAAATTTGTATAGCTTTCTGACATTAACTATGGATTTGAACAGAATCACTTCCTTTCTCATTTTTTTTCTAACTCAGAATTTTGGTCTTCCTCAGACAGTGTCTGCATGTCTGCACGTTAGGTATATTGCATGAATCCAGTTATAATATTTGGTTTCATTAGTATCCCAAACACATCATTGGCGGGGGGCGGGGTTCCATGTATGGATTTTGTGAGGATTCAAGCCTTAATCCAAAGCACTGATGTTACGAATCAAGTCAGTTGCTTATAGTCTGCAAACGTTAGGGGGTATATTTTCAGAGTTTAGGGCAGGAACTATATTACTTCTCTCCAAGTTCAGTGTAGACATTGAGCCTTGGGGACACAGGAACTGCCCTTGTAAGCTCTGGGACACAGAACAAGAACATGAACCATGATTGGTGCCATGGAAGGACCAGGTCCACTAAGGAGCGAGTTGACACCAACCATCACTGCAATGTGCCTGGCTCACTCAGTAATCAAAGATAGGGAAGAAACAGGAATGGAGCAGGAAGGACAGTGTTGGGATAGAGCTGAGCTCTTGGGGAAGGGCTGATAGAGGAGGCAAGCCTTTCACTGGCCTGAAGGAGGGACAGAAAGAAATCAAACCACAAGGAGGACAAGATGTTCCAGTCCTCTGACCGTTCTTTTTATTCCATTTCTGAAAAGTCTCAGAGTTGTTAAAATACTACTGGTAAGGAGGAAGGGTGGACCTGCATTTCCTCAAGTCTGTGTGGAGGCCTTTGTGATGTTTTAGAGGCTGAAGTAATGGAGCAGGCCTTTATCGGGAGAGGATGAGCTCTCAAGTTCAGTGGGCTGACGTGATGAAATGTGTGTTAGACTAATTTCCAACATTTTATTCATCGCACGGTGCATTGCCTGAGTGATATTCAATAAATATTTGCTGAATGAGTTAATGATCTGAGCATTTTGTAAAGGATGGAGTGGAAAGGAGAGAGGCGGGAGGCGTAGTACTTGGGCACTTGGCAGGCTGTAGGAGAGTAGTTGCATATATATTATAGTAGTAAAGAAGATAGAAAGGAGAGGTAGCAGATGTTTGGCAAGCTCAGCGGAGCGTGGATAAGGTTGAGACCCCAATGTGCCGTGTGGATTTTGAACTTGTGTTCGTGACAGAATGTGGGGTCAGGGCTTTGAAAGCATCAATAGGTGAGCAGTTGGTTTTCGTTTTGGATGGTATTACATTTGAGGTAGGAGAACTCACACTGAAAATCTAGAACTATGGGTGTGCACAGAAGAATGCTCACAGCATTCTTTTTTTCTTAAAGTAGAGGTAGACTCTTAAGTTTGAAACAGAAATTCACAAAGAGAAGACAAGTCCAGAGAAATGGGAGAAAAAGAATTCTCTCAGAGAAGACGTGGGAAAGCACTGGTAACAGCCAATGGCCTTTGTGGATGGGAAGTAAATGTCAGCAAAGGTGAGCTAGTCTCCAGAAGGCTGAGCACGTGGCTGGAGCAGCTGACACTGTGTGCAGAAGGAGCTCTCTCCAGTTCCCATCTTCTGGACCTCTTCTAAGCTGTCAGAGGAAGGAGGAAGACTGAACAAGGGAGTTTCCTTTGCAGAGGACAGGCTAGGTTAAACAAACTAGCAATAGCCGAATATCAATCATGTATGGACAAAAGGAGTATTGTTTTCCATCTGGTCTTTCATCTAAGTCCACGTTGGATGATATAAGACTATTTTGGTGTCATCAAAAGCAGTCGATCAAATCAGATATGTTTGCAATCACCCGTATCAATACTGTCTAAAGTAATGAGACTTTTCCTTAGGAAGCTCTTGCCGGTTGCTTCACAAGGAAAGTTAGAAAGTGTTACTTTTTCTTCAAAATATATGACACACAACTACTTTCTTTTTTGTTCTTTCTGTTTTTAGGTTTGGTGATGTCTCTTTGCAAGAAAACATTAATCAGGAAAATTTTGAGCTTTTAAAAGACTATTATACAATATTTATGGAAAAGATGCCTCCTGACTGTAAGTATATTCGTTACAGAACACATTAACACTAATTTATTATAAATCTTCAAGAAAGGGTTAAAAAAAAGAGGCCAATGAGGAGAGGAGCAGAGAAAGGGGTCTGGGAGTGAGGCTGAGGTGATGTGAACCATTGCTAAAGTGAACATGGTGAGCTCTTGCTTCTGACCTTGAGTGAACTCTTGAACCTGTCTTGCTACTCATGCTGGGACATTAACCCCAGGGCCAGTGGAAAATACCAAGGGTTGACAATATCATCATTAGCCATGGCCATCCACTTCTACTGTCACTTCTAAAATGCTTCACAATGTTGAACGCCTTAATAACTATTGTATTCTACTACTTGTAGATGTCATATGTCACACACCTGTAAGTAGAAAATCAGATCAAATAGGAGTTATACAATGTAACATTGATATCAATGAATGAAAATAGTGTTGAATGTACTTAGTACAGAACTTATACATTAAGTGCTTTGCGCTGAGACTCTGTTCTGCTGTTGTTCAGTTTTATTTTATTTATTTTTTGTCGGTCGTGGGGCTTGAACTCTGAGCCTGGGCACTGTCCTTGTGCTCTTCAGCTCCAAGTGAGCGCTGTACGGCTTGAGCCACAGCACCACTTCCTGTTGTTCAGTTTCATGGTTCTTTTCTACCTTACTAAGTGCATAGCATTTCTGAGTTCCCAAACCAGAGAATCAGAAATGCATTTACAGTAAATCCATAAATGGTATAAGTATGCTGAGGTATTGTGATATTCACTATGATAAGAAAATAAGTTTTAATAAAATAAGAACTATTGTAAACTCAAATCCATGACCAAAGTTGACCTGTCTTTTAACAAAGCCCAGTTTGTTTACTCATTTACATTCTGATACAGGTTTGAAATATCTTATGTGATGGAGTATTTACATCTTTTAATAACACAGTGAGTGTTGGTTCAAACAGTACAGTAGCATATAAATGCCTGTGATCAGAGAGAATTCGACTTGCTAGATTTTGCATTATGATTTTTACATTATTTCATTTCACATCAACTATTTTGCCTGTATTGAAATTAAGCATATGGAAATTCTTTGGTAGCCAATATACTTTGAATTGCACATTTGTTAATTATAAAAAAGTCAAATTATTGCTTTCATGGTTAATGAAGATGACTGTGAATTGAATACTGATGAGTTACATTTTTTAAAGAAGTTCCTTGTAACTAGAAAATGACTCTCAGCATTTCTACCAATGACATGATTTCTACCAACACTGGTTTTTAGAAAATACAATCAGTCTCCACAGTATCTGCTCAACATTAATTGATTGTCTGGAGTGCACAGGCCCCGATGCAGATGGGAACAGCGTGCTCTGTGTCTGTGCGCACAGGCTTGCAAGTGAATCCCGATAGATGGGAACAGCGTGCTCTGTGTCTGTGCGCACAGGCTTGCAAGTGAATCCCGATTCACACTGTCCTGCAACCATTGCTATGTCATCCACATACCAAATATGTATTACAAAGCAGGTTTGTGGCAATCTGCAGAGGATTTTAAGACTGTTCTATAAAAGTCATAAAAAAGAAATATTGGAGAATTTTTTGAACTATCACTTGAGACACAAAACAAAGAATAAGTCTATATTCAGGTAACTTAAACATTTCCTAAGAACAAGTACTAAGAAAATTTAAGAACATAAAGGCTATCACATTCCCGGTTAAATATAGCTGTCTGTCTGTCTGTGGAGGTTGCTGGTAGGATCTCTTGCAGATGACCGCAGGTTACATTGCATGTAACCTTTGCATCAGCCACTGTCTAAGACCTCCTCTACTTATAAAACTTCATTCAATCTAGATGCTATGTGAAATGGTATTGCTTATAGGGAATAATGATACACAGAAGATACAATCATTTTCTGAGTATTTTTGGTCTATGTTTGTTAGAAACAACACATGTGGAATTCCATATGTATGGAGAACTGACTCTAAACCAAGTATTTTTTTTAGAAATTTACACATATATATTCACTTTTTTGTGCAAATAGGACAGCCTTTTGAATCACACCAATTACATTTCGTTAGTTAGGGTAATATCTTAACATATTGGACTTTCCATACTTTATTTCCTAGACTTTTGAGACAAAATTACCTTGGATTCTCAGCAGAATGGAGCTGTGGTATGCTGGCTAACACATTGTATAATTAAACACAAATCCAGCTTGTGAAATGAATTTGTATATGTGGGGATATATCACATGGAGAAATATTGTAACCCAAAACATGACTTAGGTTACATTCTGCCGTGGGGTGGGAAGATATACAGAGCGTGAATAGAAGCTAAGCTACCTGCTGAAGAGGAAGAAACTGCCATGTTAGCTCATATCTAAGATACATAAAGTCTTATTTTTCCTTCACAGCAAAATCAAGGGATAGATTTTGTATCAGTAACAAAGAGTATGTTAGTTCTCTTAACGATAATTTCACTTATTAATCCACTATGGTTAGTCTGCCTATTAATTTACTAACTCAGCTTTAAAATATGTTATAAAAATGTTATAGACAAAATAATTGAATATTACATTGTTTGGTCATTAAAAACTAGTGATTTATTTTCACCTTAAAGGATACTACTTACTTTTTCTTTACTGACAAATGTTCACCCATTCTAGACTCTCCACTTACTACCAAATAGCTCTTATTTACTCCTCTTATGTAGAAATGTTGAGAATATTCTCTAATTCCATTTTATAGGCAGTCAGTTTAGTTGGTAGTCTTAATTCAGCAGTCTCTAGACACGCTAGAACCTTCTGTTAGGAGATGTTATCACGACTGAGTTAGTAAGAGTTAGTGACTGTCAGCAACAGTCCAGGCTATGCTCAATATACCCTACAGATTCACAGACTGTGAATCTCAATGCCATTGGAATAGTCCGCTGAACTCAGATATTATTACCTTCCTCCCCATCTTCTTTCAGTTGCACAATGGGCATTGGCAGAAGGCTTGGGAGGGTAGAGTGGCTTGGGTATCTTTCCCTGGAGTTTCCATGGCACCCGGTGCTGGGCTGGGCCAGGCCCACTACAGAGACACAGGAGAATGCAGACATCCCAGCAAGGGGCCTCATCTGGAGCAGATGGCAGGCATCTGGAAGTGAGACCCTACATCAGAGCAGTTGATGACCGATCCCCCCGTGTGTTGTATATTTCTCCCTCCAGATTTTCTTTACATGGTTATGCAGCTCTCCAGTTATTGCCTCCCTCCCTGACTCTGAGGCACGGGTGCTACTTCGCCTCAGGCTGGGGCTGTGATGTTCACTGGCCCCTTTGATCAACCAGGGAAATCCCACGAGGCAGGTATTAGTTCTTCTCCTTCTTGCTCTGATCTCCCCATTGGGGAGATCATCTTTCATCTCCTCTTTCTTACCTCCCTAAAGCATTAAGACACTTAACTTTGGCATTAGGAGTAAAATAAAATAAAAAGCACTCCTGTAAATAATTAGCACAAAAGGCGGAAGCCCTGTTACATCTCTGGTAGATTTCAGGAGCTTGGTGCAAGTGACACAGGTGAATTTATCGCCTCTAAGCTCACAGTTGTCTCTCTAATTATGATGCCTGCATCTTTCCTCTTTATCCAAACAAAGGAGACGTCTGTTGCTGAAATTCTGTCACTGACTGACTCCGTTCTTTGCACAGCAAGGTGGGGCTAGGTAGGATTGTGAGCGAAGACAGAAAAGAAGGCAGAATTTTTTTTTAACCAGGTCTAAACTATGACATCCTTGTGAAACATGTAGTCTCTCATCTAGCAAAGGATTAGGAATTGTATGCAGAACCTTTCTTTGCCAAAGCAAAAACAAATCTTAGGTTTTAATGATAGTGGAATATTGTTGTTTTTGTGGTGAATGTGCAACATTGGCTGGAAGCTCACATTCGGTGGCAGACACGGGTGGAGATGGTCTTATGTGGAAAGCTCTACCAGTCAACTATGGATTATGAAGAACAGATCACTGCCCCTCAGAGCTTGTGGTTGAATGGCTCAGTGTGATGGCGGGATAATCAGCTTTAACTCTAAGCTTCTTCCCAGAGGAAGATCTGCTGTTTTGGAGTATCAGTCTTTCTTTCTAAATAATTCAGTTTTATTGCCTTTCTGTTCTTTGTCAAAGAGTTTTACCTTCTCCTTGATTGTACCTGATGCCCTATCTAGTGATGTATTGTCATGGATTTTATTTCTGCACTAGGAAAAATAAAACATCCTAAGTATCCATTCTAGCTACAAAAAAAAGGAAAAATAGAATAGAAAAATAGAACAAGACTCCCAATATTTTATGAATAATAATTTTTTAATTTTTATTTTTTATTGTGAAAATACTGTACAGAGGGGTTACAATTACATGGGCAAGATAATGAGTACATTTCTTATCAAGCATTGTAGCCTCCTCCTTTGTTTCCCCTTCCCATCCCTTCCCAGCCTCCCCCCGCCCCCCCACCCAATCCTCCCCGCTCCCCCTCCCCTCACACACACCAAAGTTGTAAAGTTCGTTTTCGACGTAACGACCTGTTTTTGACAAATTATTTGAATACTTTTTCTATGGAGTTCTACAGGAAATGAGAAAACAACTATTTGTAAGTTTATAGGAAGGCGTACTAAAGGACCCATAAAATAAAGCAAGCATTATAAGAAACCAATAAGACATACAAGAAACCAAGGGAAGATGAGCAAGAATGTCCAATGTGTTCATGATGGAAGAGTGTGGAAGAGGACAGTGGATTCAGTGCTTATGAATCATTTGACAGCGTTTACTGTAGTCGTTTTAGTAAAAAGCATGACAGGAAACGACAGGCATTTAGGCAGTGTGACCATTGACTGTTAGCATGTGTTTCACTACAAGCGGATGAGAGCACCAGAGAGCAGAGCAAAACCAGTCCCTGGGATGCACTGGGTAACGTGTCGGAGGGGGCTGCCCTGCATTCCCTGGGGCCCCTGCCATGTACTTCTGGTCCCTAACTTTCCAACCTGCTTGTCCTTAGAAA